TGCCCCGCTGCCTTCCTAGAGCAGTTTGTGTCGCTTTAATATCCGAGGGCCGTGCTTTGGATCAAATGCAGGCTTACCTAAAGCTCCAGGGAGGTTTTTGTGCTTTACCAGCATTAGCGATCCCTTCTCAGAGCTGTCAGCCACGTAAGCGTCCGTGGCACAGCAAAGCGGAGCAGCTGCTGGGGTTTATCGTTCCTGACTATTACAAGAAATCCCACTTTAACCTCTTCCCAGGGTGTGTGTGTGCTGGGGGGGTGGATCCCAGTTTTGGGAAAGTTGAGCTCTGCTGGCCAGTGTCTCCGTGTTTGTGATTCTTGGTGGTTAAGCAGTCAAAGTAACAGAAGGGCGCAGGACTAAAAGCCAGATTCTTTTCAGCTCCCGTGGAGACTTTCTGCCAGCAGGCATCACGATGATCATTACATTTTGGGTGATGGACAAAGAGAAGAGACCTCTCCAGCAAGCTGGGTTGCTGAGCACCCCGGATGTGTGACCCCAGCAGCACCGAGGAGGTCTTAAACTAACCTTCAGACACCTTCTGGCTCTGCAGATTACTTTCTTTTTCCTCATTTGTATTCTGTGATGGACTTTGATAAAGTAATTATATACCCACAGGAAAAAGCTGAGATTATTTTTCAAGCAACACTATGACATTTTGTTTAGCCAGCTACTGTTGTTTTAACAATTGATTGCGAGATTGATGAAACTGCCAAAGCATTTGAAGTGCAGGGAATCGATTCTATTGATTTATCCATAATTACCTGAAGTAGCCTGAATCTGTATTCACCTCGAGGTATCCACGGAGATGGGTGAGTTACAAGGGACAGTGCTGTCAGCAGAAAAAGAGGGAGGTGCCTGTGCTGGAAACGGTGAGGCGCTGTCAAGTATTTGGAAACTTTTGGCCAAATTCAGTCAGAACTTTCACGCTTTGCAGGATAATTTGCTGGTGATGTCCTTTCCCACACTTCCCATGATTTACTTCTCTTTTTTTAATTACTTCTCTTTCCACACTTAATACTACTTTAAAAAGCAGCGTGGTGGGAAAAAACATCTTCTGTTTCGTTGATTTTTACCACTGCAAAAACGAGCTGAATTCCCATCTCAGGTCAAGGCGAAACAAGAACGAAGATGCTGTCTGCCAAGAGACGCCGCTCCTGCGCTGTGAGCCGCGGGTGCCTGGCGGGGAGGGCTGGCGGGAAAGGCACCTTCCTGCTCGGCTTGGGGCAGAGAGGGGCTCAGCACCCCGCCGGGGGGCTGCCGGCAGAGCTGGGTGTCAGAGCCCGGGGGGGATCCCCCAGTCCTGGCCAGTGGGCTGCGGTGGTCTGAGAGCCGGCGGAGCTCTCCTCCGTGGCTGCCTGCGTGCTTGGCAGGGAGGGTTTTTAGCCAAGAAACTCAGCAAGGGGAGGTGGTGATATCTGTACCGTAGCAAAGGCTCTTTGCATTTTATGGAGCAGCACATTATGATGAAAACTGATCGTTTTATAGCTAACCTGACTGCAGAGATTTCTTCCAGCAGCACTTACATTTGTGTTAAATTATAAGATCTATGGCAAGTTTTTGCCAGCTACCGTAAGAATCACAGAATCACAGAATAGTAGGGGTTGGAAGAAACAGTCTGTCTGAATTCAGCAAGTCTTCTTCCTTTAGAATATTAACTTTTGGGTTAGAGGAAAACTAATGCTGTCCACCTGCAATAGGTGCTACTTTCCCAGTATTGTAGCCTTAGCTAAGAACTCCTAAATTAAATTGTCTTCTAGCTTTTCCATTAGAAAACACTATTTCCAAGCTTTTATTACTCTGTCATAAAATTCTCTAGGTGGTGAGATTTAGTACATGAGGTTATATCCGTGGCATCTTAGATAAAATTTCAGGAGACAAAGTTTACTGGTGCGTTTGAAAAAAGAGTGTAGAGGTCTAAAGCTTCTTCTTTCCTGCCCTCTGAAAGTTGTCGAGAAACCACAGCCTAGACCGCAGAGTGGTGGTCAGGAACGGAGCAGAGTGCGGGCAGCCAGACCTTGCTCCTTGCTTGTCCAAGGCGGCTGCCCAAGGGTGGCCCCGTCCTTGGAGATACTCAAAGCCTGGCTGGACACAGCCTGGAGCAATCTGCTGTAGTTTGACCAGAGACCTTCAGGGGCACCTTCTCACCTCCACATCTCTGCGCTCCTCTGACTCTACGCCAAGACCATTCAACAGGCAGCTACGCTTCAGGTTGAGGGTTAGGTCCTCGTGCTAAGGAGGCTTTGCTTGCTGGGAAGTCCCATCGATCTTCGCAGGTGTCGGAGGTGGACACCGTCCATCTGCTGGGTGGGCAGAGCGCATCCACCAGGACGTTTGAGTAGACTGTAAATCCCAACCCTTTTTTGTACGGTTTATTTCTATAAATATTTATCATTTGGTTGTCCGATGGTGTAACACTCGTGCCTGTCTGATCCGACAGGATTGTTCCGTCAGGTTTATCTGAAGGTGCGAGACAGCTGTACAGCAGAGGTGGTTTGGAAAAGGGTAGCTTGTGCCTGCTCGATGGGGTCTGTTGTTGGTAGTCAGACCACAAGTTTGTCCTTCAGAATTTCGTAACTTGCCGTTGTTTTTCATTCATCCGTCCCCTTTGTTTCCGAGGACACGCGGCACAGAATATAAATTAGGAAAGAGGTGTCAGTGGTTGTAGATAATATGCTAAAACCATTTCTGAAATATTTATTAGAAAATAGGTTAATAAAGTGACACGGTGCACCTGTGCTGGTGTGGAGCAGACATTCTGAGACGATTATGCTAATGGAAGTATTTAGTAGCGAGTCTTCATTGGGATTACTCTGTGCCGTTGTCATAGCCCAGGAACTGTAATTCAAAAGAAAGCAAATGATCATGATTTTTGTTTCTTTTTTTTTTTTTTTTTAAGGTGCAACAGCTCTTTATTGTGATGAATTAGAGGATATTACAAGGAATCTTTTAAAATTTTTTTGTTTTTAAAAAGAGAGAGAGGTAGACTGGACAGAGAAATATCATCTACAAAAACGAAAAGGATTTTAGGAACCTTCATTTGGGCTGGGCAGTTGTCAGGTCTGGAGATGTGAAGACGGGTGAACAGTGATAACATCACCGGAACAGAAAAGAGAGAGAGAATTTGGGAAGGGAGAAAGGGAGATGCGAGGAGGGCAAATAAATACCTTCCTGCTCACTCCTTTTAATGATTTTGACTTTCATTTGACTTGTACAAAATACACCTATGAGGTCACGACGTATTCTCTGTGTTCCAGGATTACAATAATTGGAGAATTACCAGACTGTGTGCAAGGCCAATAGAGAAGTGGTTATAGGTGTCTATTAGTATTAATTCATATGGAAGTAAAAAGTTGTTTAAAACTTAACTGTGCTTTGCAGCTCGGAGAGGTTGAAAAAGAATGTGGCGGTATTTGAAATGATTGCTGTTTAAAAGAAGGCTTTGCTATTCATGCCTTAGTGAGCATTTGTTCGGGGTTGGGTTTTGCCTTGGGATTTCAAGGTCTAGGTCTGTTGTTTCGTACGCCGTCTGACAAGATAAGAGTAGTCTGTCTCATATATGCACAGCAAATTTGTCTCCCAGAGAAGCGAAAGCTCAAGCATGGAAAGCATGATGATGTGCAGGAAGGCTGATCAGCTGTAATAAGGCATTCATTATCCTTCCATCTAAATTAACTGAAATGTCATCATAATAGTGCCTTTTATAACCTCACTTCCAATTCCCTCTCTGTTATTGATTTATCAGCTAAACCTAAATTATTTTAAGCTGTATCTGTATATTCTTCTGTGTAGAGAATTATTCTGTCGTGAGGGGAGCCATTTGTTCGTTCTTGTGCTCTTCTTTTTTGATGTTTGCTTAAGGAAAAATACCGAGGAGTACATATGTAGCTTATATTGTTTCATATTTTCCTGTCAGAAGTATTTTGCATGAGGGCTTATAGTGTAAATCCGAGTCCCTGGGACCTAGAGCTAACTAAATAATGTACAAAATGGAATATACCGTAAGAATGTTTCTACTTTTGGACTATCTCTAGATGATTTCTCCAGAAAAATCTTCCTGCAGGGGCGGTTTGATCTCTGTGTGACAGAGGTGTGCTGCGGTGTCGTGCGGCTTCCAGCTGCCCTCGGCTCCTGTAGCTTCTGCAGACACTTCCCAACGATGCGAGAGGCTGAGTGAGAGAAAACGGGGCACAGACTGGTTTTAAACGTGAGCGAACAAGCAAATCAGGACACCGGACTAATTGTAAGAGAGAACAGAGGAAGAAACAACAACAGTACCAGAGAAAGAAAAATAGAGGAGCTGTTTGGCACAGTGACTACTGTTACACTCATAAATGGAATCCCTGTGTCCCTTCTTCATTTATTATTGCCAGTTGGAGTCTGGATTTGATACGTATGGACAGCCTCCTGATTTCAGGGAGGTTGTTTGTAGGAAAAAAGAGCCTCTCTCCAAAGGTAAAATGACGGAATCGAGCCGTTAAGTTTTGCGCCATTTGGTGGAGCAGTCTCTAAGCGTGCGTCCCACAAACGGGCTCACCACCCATGGGCCTGTTGGCAGCGGTTAGTAATCAATAACGGTCAAAATACCCAGCACTCAGTAGCTGCAGTTGAAGTTATTTAATGGCTTGAATCAGCAACGTGTTAATTGATTTATTGACTCTGGATTGGTAGCCATAAATGGGGAGGAATAGATGAAGAAATTAGGACGAATCTGTCCTTTTGCCCTGGACGGGGCAAGGTGAATGATTTCCACCCAGATCACAGGGGTTTCCTTAACATGGGTTGGTTTGTTTGGGGGTTTTTTTGAGAATTTCTGCTCTTGGCGGCCTGTCCTTGGCATCACAAAGTTTTTCCTAATGTCTAAGGTGTGCCGTGGTTTTCTGTATCTCCTGACCTCTTCCTCCTCTCACCTGAGCTCTCTGCCGTATTTCTGAGTCATTCTTGCAGACTCTTTCCAGTGGTGCCCAGCGACAGGACAAGGGGCAACGGGCACAAACTGAAGCAGAGGAAGCTCCAGCTGAAGATGAGGAAGAACTTCTTCCCTGTGAGGGTGACGGAGCCCTGGCCCAGGCTGCCCAGGGAGGTTGTGGAGTCTCCTTCTCTGGAGATATTCCAGCCCCGCCTGGACAAGGTCCTGTGCCGCCTGCTGTGGGTGACCCTGCTTGGGCAGGGGGTTGGACTGGGTGACCCACAGAGGTCCCTTCCAACCCCGACCATGCTGGGATTCTGTGATTCTGTGTGGTGTCTTCTACTGAGCAAGATTCCAGCCGAGGCCTTGCCAGGGCCGAGGAGATAAGGAGAAATACTTCACGTCTCCCAGTGGGCCCTGATCCTAGCACAGCCCAGACTGAGCGTTCTGCAGCGTGGCGGCACGTTGGTGCTGAGGTGGTCAGCCCACCATCTGACTGACAGGCTCGCGCGGTCTTCCTCTGCGTGTCTGAGCGATTCGTCATTCCCTCCGGCTTACGGAGGACTTGGTAAAGGCGTTGTAGCAGGAAATACATAAACAGGGATAAAATATCAAGAAATCCTGATAATGGTACAAGACCTCGCTGTGATGGAAGCTATCTAAAGACAGAGTAAGAGGACAGTCCCTACCTCAGAGGACCTGACTGCAGCAGAAGAGACGACAGAAGGCTACTGATGCATGTGGGAGCCACCCCCAGCACCGCTCATCCCCAGGGGCTCAGCACACGTAACCCTCCTCCGTCCCAGATGTCAGTTTGGGTGTTTGGTAGATGCTCACGCCCTTTAGCAGCGGTCATCCTTCCTTCCACATACCCTGAAGTGACTTCCTTCTGTAATCATACTCCTTCTATTCCAATCACATCGTAGGAAATGTTAATTTCCTTCTTTTAATTGGGTTGATAAAGTCTTTTGTCTAGCAAATCTTTTCCAATATGTTAGGCTGAGATTTTGCTGCCGCGTGTGACATTCTCGGTGTGGCAGCGGAGTACGTTGTGACCGGTTCCCGTCTCTGAACTTCTCTCTCTTCTTTCAAGGTTTAACTTTTGTGGCTCTTCTGACACGGATAATGTATTCTTTTGTTAATCGAAACCGAGCTTCAAGAAAAGCACTTCTTTTTATGCACATGCAACTGGAAACTAATCTTCATTATTAATTGCAGCAAGATAAGGTACGCCGCTGCGGATTGATGTTCTCCATCTAGGCAGAGGAGATAGCTGTGATTCCTTGTCCCAGTGATGGCCGAGTACCCCTTCCATCCTTCCGTGTGTTAGCTGCAGCCAGCTTGTGCTTCAGTACAGAGCTGATGCACTTGGTTTAGCTCTGCCTGTTCTGAAGAGCCACTTTGCCCTCAGTTTCTTCAGTTTCTCTAACTTGGACAGTGAAGTCGTTGAAAATTATCATAGAATCACAGAATCATAGAAAGTTTTGGGTCGGAAGGGACCCCCAGAGGTCATCTAGTCCAACCCCCCCGCAGCGAGCAGGGACACCGCTAACGAGATCAGGGTGCTAAGAGCCCTGTCCAACCTGGTCTGGAATGTTTCCAGGGATGGGGCCTCCACCACCTCTCTGGGCAACCCGTTCCAGTGTTGTCAGTACCTGCTTTGGAGGAGGAAGAGGATTAAACTAACACCTGGAATGATTCATAAAATTTTTCTGCTTCCTCTTTTGAATTTTATTTGGGCATAAACCTGAACCGGTTTTACATTCATGCGTTGCGGTAAACTTCAGAGGTGATGATGTACCATTTCGTAGATTACAGCCAAGAGTTCATCCAGGACAACTGTTTTCTCTCCAGATGATCTCTTCAGGGTAGTCATTTTTCTGCCTGATCAACCATACGACCGAGCATCGTACCAAACTGGTGAGGCGATGCCAACCCAACCGTCTGACTTTGGCCATCCAGCCCTATGTCCGTTGGTGTTTCTTCTGATTCTTGTTCACCGAGTTGCACCTCGTTCACAGAATGGTGTTTGAGAATTCCAGGTGGAAATACTCACCTTTAGCCTCAGCTGACGCCTCTCCCCACTCTCGTGTGGGTACGGAGGAGATGACGAGGTGGCCAGGAGTACACGGATCTCCACCGGATAGAAAACTGCGCTTACCAAAACCCGGCCTTTCCTCACTGGGCCCCGTAACAAGAAAGCTTTGCACCGAGGTGAAGGAGGAGGGCTGTGAGGAACCTCTCTGCTCTGGTCATCCCAGCGTGCTGTACAGCTGGCTATTTTTTATTGCCAGTATTTGAATATATATTCTTAAAAATAACTTCATCAGGTAAAAATCATCACGATTTTTCTGTTTTCTCTTGGCACGGGAGGTACCAGATGATGGTAGAAGGCGCTGTGAGCTTCGCCGTGACAAGGTCATTCTGGTGACTTCAGCTGTGCCAGGAGGTTGTAGTATTTAAATTGGCTGCTGATTAATCCACTTCATAACTTCCCTTCTCCGCAGTTAAACCAGGGTTGTTCAGGATGGCTCTGGCTGTTACTGCGCTCTGCCAGTCGTGTTTCCCTTTGCCGTACTGTGAGCTGGAACAGTCATGTTGTGACTGTCCCTGTGTCGTAGTGAAGGGGCTGCCAGTATTTCCAGCAATCTTTTCAGTACTGGTCGGAACAGGCACAAAAAATCCTCATTGTCTTGCGTCTGATTTGCAACTGAAGATCATAGAATCACAGAATCACAGAAAGTTTTGGGTCGGAAGGGACCCCCAGAGGTCATCTAGTCCAACCCCCCCGCAGCGAGCAGGGACACCGCTAACGAGATCAGGTTGCTCAGAGCCCTGTCCAACCTGGTCTTGAATGTTTCCAGGGATGGGGCCTCCACTACCTCTCTGGGCAACCCATTCCAGTGTTTAACCACCCTCATTGTACAGCATTTCAAATACAAGAAGTCCATTGCTACAGCCTCACTACAAGGTCTAAGTGTGCAACCTGTGGGAGCAACGACCCTTCTCACTGTTGCCATCAGCACCTTAGTACCCGTAGGTGGACTCTGAGCAGGGTGAGACATGGTGAATAAATACCATTACAGATATGCTCCCCGCTGGTTGAGGTGATCCATGCACCTTGAAACCTTTAAGGGATTCTACCCCTGTTGCTTCAATGAGCTGAAAAGCTTCTATACTATTAGAATAAAAATGTGCGTTCTGTTGAGTTGCACTGGGACAAGAACTGGGCTTTCTTCACTGCCGTACGTTGGGAGGTGCTTTACCCAGTAATGGGAGGATTGAGTGTATCGAGAAATTAAATAAAAGTTAAAATGGGGTTTGAATAATTCAAAAGTCAACACTCTGACCTCTGCATCTCTTCTTTTGCCGTTGCTCTGCAGGCGGTTGGGAGGAACACCTCCCCTCCGAACGCAGCCTGGTAGCAGGGGTGGCACGAGGGCTGGGAGAGGACGGAGCTGTTCAGTTACAGCTCCAGTGCAGCAGATGTGCTGTGGTCCTGCTGCAGCTGCAGTGCATTCTGCATTACTTTTTCGTTAATGGCATTCACTAGAATTAATATGGGGGAAAAATGAGAGTTACAATTTAAAGAAAAATAATGGTATATAAACTAATGAGATTGTTCCAAAGCGTAATTAGATGGAGCAGACTGAATACATTGATGTCTTGAGGCAACATAATTAAATTGTAGGCATAATCCTCCCTGTATTGGAACCGATTTTATCTTCATAAGGCAGGGAGCGTTAGGTGGCCCTTCCTGCTACGTTAAATTACCAATTCTTCTAGGAAGACTTACGAATCTCTTACTATTATCAGACTTTAAAACCACAAAACCAAACAGGGTGTAAGTCTACATGTCGAACTGTTGCCTGTCTGATTACATGGAGAACTTGTTTCAATCTTAGTTTGTGCTGCAGCTCGGTAATTGAACCATAGATCTAAAATTCATAGATCTGCAGCGGGTTATTGTGTATGCTGGATTCATCGCATTTATAACATCTTCGAATGAAGTTGTTTCCAAATATGTACACTGACAACGAGACTGGTGACTAATGCACAGCAGTTCCTGAAATGCGTCTCTGCGTATGCTGGATGCAGCTGCGTAGATGCCTGGGACATCTTGGCTGTAGAGAGTGATACTGGGAAGTGAGTGTATCTGGGTGGGCCTTCATATATGTGTGTGTTTACTTTCTTCAGTCTTCTTTTATATTGTATATATTCTTTCAGCTTTTCAATTTTCTTTTGTTTTTTCTTTCATAAATTTAATTATTATTTTCATGTTTGGCTGCTTTGCTTCTCCATTACACTACTGGGAGGGGGTCATCTGAATTTATAGTACAGACACATCCCACTGGAGTCAACATTTTTGCCTTACTTTATTAATTTAGTATACACAAAGAACCTCTCGTAGCATCCTGATGCCCGTGTGTTATCTGGAGACTTCATTTCTCATGGGCTACCAAACAGTTAGCTAAGTATTAGGTTTTTTTCAGGCGAGATCACTGGGTATCTTAAATTCAATAAAAGATCTTTCGAACTGCCTCTGCTGGTTTGTTTTAAATAATTCTGATATTTGTTTGTCAGCCTGTAGAAAGATTAACTTAGTTATTTGCATTTGAGAGGAACACTCTTTTTAAAGATTGCTGTTGGAGGGGGAAAAAGAAGTCGCGTGTGTCACGAGTGGTCTTTATCGTTGGTGGTACTTTCAGGAGACATAAATCTCTACCGCAGTCTGCTCTAAAGACAAGCTCATTTGTCTGGGCATTAGCTGGCAGTTTCATAGCATGAATTTAAAGTTTACAGGAGGAATCTAATGTTTATTTTGAAAATGGAGATTAGGGTACCAAAGAATAATATGTTTACTTTTCAGCACCATGAATATGTAGTGACCTACTTCTGCTGTACTATTTGGTGTTATTTTTAAAGCTTGTCAAGCCGACTCCTGTTGCAATTTAAGAAGCATCCTGTTTAGAAGAGCAATAAACTACACCGCGTACTAAATCAACATTTTAGAACAGTGAGCAATGTTTTGAAGATTGTCCTTCAGCAGTTTGTTTGTGTGTCATGGTGCCAGAAGTAAAGCAGCGCTTGCCGCGTGTTTAAAAACACGTTTTCTTGACCTGCAAGTTGAAATACAGCCAGCTGCAGGCCTGGGTTAGATACTGCAACTTTAAAAATATATGTACTTTTTTTCTAATAAACTGAATTTTGAATGATCTCTTGTTTAACATAAAGAAAGTGATTTTCTCCAAAGCATTCCTTGTGTTTCTGCGTATGCTAATTTACCTGGTTAGTGTTGAGAACATCTGCACAGAATTCCGTGTACTTCGGAGCGGTGAGATCACACCGCTTCTCAAGTCACCGCTACAAATTTCGCTTTCCAGACAGACTCAGATTTTTGTCTAACTGGGATGCCAGATGTACAAAGGTACCACAGAAGAGTGTGTAATTAAGTAATTTTCTCTTGATCTTTCAGAGTCTTCCTGCGAGCGATTAATCAGTATGCAGATATGCTAAACAAAAAATTTCTTGATCAAGCCAACTTTGAGTTACAGGTAAGAAAAAAACACCAGTGTCTCGGGGATTGATGTTAATGGTGTAATAAATTTCTGCCCTAAATGAGTAATTTTGGTGCGTGTGTGTGTCATCGTGAAGCCCGGGTGACCAGTTAGCCCAGTGAAGTCGTTCAGACTCAGCAGGTAGGTATGATCCATTCATGTCTGGTGGGTCTTGGCCTCCAAGAGCACCACGTCTCACCCAGAGCATCACAGAAAACTCCTTTCCTGCCGGAACACAAAGGGGTGTCCTCCCGGGTTCTGCAGCAGAAGCTGCCGCAGAATTCTTGCCTCGCACGTGGAGCCGCAGGCGCAGCGTCCGAGGGCCCCGCCGCTGAGAAACGCGCCGGTTTAAGGCACTTGTTCAGCATCCCTGGGGTTTTTTTTTCATATTTACGTGTTTGCATTTAATTTTACTTGAATCATCAAAACACAATCAGTTGGGGTTTGTAGATGGGAAGTGTTTCATGGAAACGTAAGCACAACGAGGAGAGGTACTAAGGACGTATCGAGAAATGCCGTCTCTGTGGTGTCTGTTATTTTCTCCTTGAAATATTTATGTGCATAATTTAGATACTTCTAAGTTGTTTTGTAGGTGTGCAGAAGAACATTGCAGAGAACTAATGGTATCTATTCTTGTCATTTTGGGGACTTTCAGCTTTGGAACAACTACTTCCACCTGGCTGTTGCTTTTCTCACACAAGAGTCTTTACAACTGGAGAATTTTTCAAGTGCTAAAAGAGCAAAAATACTTAACAAGTAAGTCCTATTCGTCTTCTAAATCATGGACAAGAACTTGAGGTCTATTAACATAATTTTAGTTTAATTTCTTAGCTAAATCCATTCAAATTGAGATGCAATCATGGTATAATGAAAGGTTGGCTTTAAAAACATGAATCAAGTATTGCATGTGTTTCTACCCTTGAATCAAGATCTAAATTACATGATTCATTACTGATGAAGACAGTATTTTATACTGCAGGATGTTCATAAAGTCAAGACTTTTCAGAAATATTAACGTATTATAAAACGGAATTTTTAAATCACTTCAGCTTTGTGCTTATTCTAATCTCATTTTACGTGCGCTCTTTATTGCTTAATCCCTGACGGCCTTTTAGAGCGATTTTTTGTCACTACAGCCAGTTTCCCTGCGATATCCCTGAAGAATGGGTTTGTGTAACTGCAGTCTTCTAGGTGTCCCTGGCTCAAAGGGATTACATTGCCTGCCTCGGGACAGGGAGCCTGCACCACCCCATTGCTGTTCCGAATCCCGCAGCAAGTCAAACCTGTCAAAAGACAAAAAAGACTGGAAAGAAGTCTGGAGCATGAATATTTTGTTTAATGTCTGTATTTCTCCTACATTTCATTGGGGTTCTGATGTAGTGGACCTTATCTTTAATTAACTAAACACTGAGCACTGAAAAAAGCCACGTGGACGTTTTCAAACACGGAGTGTGGGTTCAGGTGCTGTCTTGTAGCGTTGGTCAAGAGCAATTTGTTCCCATGGTCAAGCAGGTTACGGCAGCCGATGCGTAAAAACGGGGAGCTTCAAAGCTGATTCCCTGAGCCAGTATAGCTCCGACTCCCTGTATGTATAATATGTATTATATAAATCTCTATAGAGAAAGAAGATGCATTTTGGTCACTTCACCTTCTAGACTGAAGCCTTTTTTGTGCATTATTATGATGAGAGGACCTAATATATACTTACAAATATCTGCAGGGTGGGTGTCAGGAGGATGGGGCCAAGCTCTTTTCAGTGGTGCCCAGCGACAGGACAAGGGACAACGGGCACAAACTGAAGCAGAGGAAGTTCCAGCTGAAGATGAGGAAGAACTTCTTCCCTCTGAGGGTGACGGAGCCCTGGCCCAGGCTGCCCAGGGAGGCTGTGGAGTCTCCTTCTCTGGAGATATTCCAGACCTGCCTGGACAAGGTCCTGTGCAGCCTGCTCTGGGTGACCCTGCTTTGGCAGGAGGGTTGGACTAGATGACCCACAGAGGTCCCTTCCAACCCCAACCATTCTGTGGTTCTGTGATTCTGTGAGAGGGATCACAATCAGAATGGGAAGAGCTGATCAGTGCTGCGTGTGAGGTCATTTTAAAAGGCTTTTTGCTTTAACTGGGGGGTTTGCAGAAAAGACCAGGCTCTGTGTTCTGTCCTTTTTTTTTTGGCAGGGAGGTTTTGCCCTTCAAACTCATCCACTCGGTCCTGAGTTTTGAGGAGCTTCCTTTGGAAGCTGTGCTTTACCTGAGCGTTGAAACAGAATTTTTAAGCGCTGTGTGATCTAAAACACGTGCTTGTGACTCACAGGGCTTCCTTGATGAAACGGGAATATTTACGAGTTCAGTGGAAAAGTGGTGTCAAGCAGAGCTTGGGCTTTTGCCCTTCTGCTAGAAATATCATAAATAACATTCTAGTTACACGTTTTCAAAAGGAAATCTAGATGGTTTTGTAGAGCCAGGTAAATTTGATTTCATTAGCTTTAGAATTTATGGAACAAAGTGGTTTTGTACAAGACGGGACCGATGATGCCAATGCTCTTCTGTAATGAGGAGTGCGAAGGATCCATGCAGCAGGCGCGGTGCTCCCGCCGCAGCAGAGGGATCAGAGCCGGGGCTGCCATCGGGCCCGCCTCTCCCCGCAGCCTCTGCTCGCGTTTTTTTAATTCAAGAAATCAACAGACATTTCTCACTGCTAATAGACGCAAACAGATGAAGTCATTTGAAGTGGTTAATAAATGAAGGTTGCTAAATCGTAAATCTCTGTTTATAATGATTTTCCAAGTTGTTATTTTCGGTTTAATCATGTTTTGGAGACAGAAATCAAGACCATAAATTCTTCAAGATGCAATCAATGTGTGGTCTGGAAGCACAAACTTTTATTGCGATGTGAAACCGCCACCAGTTCTGTGCCAAAGGGGTACAATTAATCAGTTAATTCAATATCACGCTCACCCATCTTTTAAAGTATGTATTTCAATTAACATGTCAAATATTTAATAATGTGAAATTTAATTATTTCAGTTTGTAGCTTTTGCTAAACATTGCATTTAAGCATTAGATAATAACAGATTCTTAATGATGCAGAAGAATCTCTTTAATCTGTATTAATGACAGGGCATCTCGCTGTTCTCCCACAGAAATCCCCCAAGTTGCCAGATATTACCATTTTGCTCATCTTGTTATGAGTAATGATCTTTAACATACAAATATTCTGTGCAGCAGATAACTTCTTGGAGCTCATTATGGTTCTGATCCCGTCGTTAATGCAGGCAATAGGAGGTTTTCCATTCCTTAAGCTTTGCTGGAGTAACGTGGAGAGGGAGCGGAGCGTTCCGACAGCCCCCCGGGAGAGGCGAGGTGCCAGTGGCAGCGGCATTTTAAAAATAAAATACAGCCTTAGGCCGTGAAGCTCTCTGTTAGGCTTCCTCCTGCCGTTGCCATTTGAAGAGTAGAAAACGCTCGCAGTTAATTTCTCGAACCACCCGGTGTCCCAAAAGACGGTTGGGTAATCTGAAAACACGGCGAGGAGAGGTTTTGCACAGGTGAAGGTTTTGTGGGTGTTCTCCTTTGGTAAGTAAAGCTGCAGAAACTGGAAATTGGGTTCTTTTGAGGGAGAGCAAGTAACACGAGGTGAGGAACAGGAGCTGCTGGCTGCGTGGCTGAGGCTTTCAGCCTCGTGGTGTCATCGCTGCGTAAAAGGGACCTGCTGCAAAGTCCGGTGTTCACGGGCGCGGAGCTGAGCTGGCGAGGGCGGCTCTGCAACGTATGGGGGGAATTTCAACAGCCTGCTCCGTAACTTCAAATATTTTTAAATGCTGATCAGATTTTGAAATGAGATGTTTCTGCATATCGGTATTTTTTTTTTTAATAGTGGGTTTGTTTTCTTTTTTAAGGTATGGTGATATGAGAAGGCAGATTGGTTTTGAAATCAGGGACATGTGGTATAACCTGGGTAAGTAGTCTGAGCACCTACTGCTTAATGCTTTCACTCGGTGTCTGTATAAACCAAGTTAGAGATGAAACAAACTTGCTTTCTCTTGAAATAATGGTAGGCTTCCACAAGGCGTGTGAAAAGCAGATGATTTGAGAAATAAAGCTGCCTCTGCACGCTTATTTCGCCATCTGGGAAGACAACATTTATGTATCTTCTGTTTTTTCATGGTATTCAACTTCATACTAAATACTAAATAAATAGAAACTGTTATGGTGATACCTGTTGAATATTTTTTTTCTCCTTAAATACACACACACACATACACACATATGTATACACACGTACATGTGGACGCAGTAACTGGGGCTGCAGAAAAAGGAATGTGTCTGAGGAATCTCAGTAGCATCCTGGAAATTCTGCTTAAAGTCAGATTTTCAGTCTTGTCTGGCTCTCTCGGAGTGAATCGGGAAGATCAGCAAAGAATGGGAACTTGGGCATCCCTGGAGTTCGTAGGTAAATGAGGCATATCTGGCTGTCTCAAGGCTGTGCTATTCTGTGGGTATAACTTAGCTACGTGGGGATTGAATTTCATGAGAACCGGAGTATTTACTGTGACCTGAGTGTACTCATCTGCCAGATTTCATTTTCCTGAGCTTAACAGCAGAGACACTTCAGCTCTTCCGAGTTTTATCAAAAGTTTCTTACATAGTCGGAGAGAAAAGCAATTGCCACTTCACTTATATCTCTAGCTGAACTGTTGTTGCTGAAACCTGAAAAAAATCAGCATATAGAAGAGAAGGGAATGTGAGGGTTCATAAGTATTTGATATCTCAGAGTTTGCATCTGCTCTGCTGGAATGATGAGAAAAGGCTTCTGAGAGCAGCTGAGTTCACTTTTTATTAGAAGCATCTTTCGTGAATTAAGTGTCTGGAGAGCAGATCAAAGCTGGTACGCACCTGAGATGTGACCTGACAGACAGCTCATAAAACCGGCGGTGTGGCTGCTGCTGGGCTGGGCAGCTCCGGGCACTGGCAGCAGCTTTGGCAGTAATTAGCCAAATCCTTCCCCGTTCCGGGCTGAGCGCCGTGTCTTCATCTGTTATCTTTACCAACTCCTCTAGCATCTTTGGATTCCGAAACCTTTTCTGCTTTCGCTGGAGATTACCGGACTGTTGGTAGAAAAGTTCGCATACGTAGATACACGTCTGGCTGTTCTTACCTGAGGTTAGTTTATCCAGTCTGGGGGCTGTGGGGCACGTTGTGATTTTTGCTACTGCTGCTGACACCGGCTGCTCTTGGACAAGTTTCTTAGTTGCTCTAGGGTTCGGTTTTTCACCATGAACAGGGAGATGATAAGAATTTCCCCTGGAGTTTGGTGAATTGATTGGTGTGGGGGGCGGTGTTTTCTTCAATATTTATTTCTATGCTGTCATGAAAGCCTTTTATTTTTAATAGAGGTTTTATAAACCGGGATTATCCAGGTAGACGGCTCCGTGACCTCCTCTAGCTGTAATGTTTGTGATTCTGTAAGTGGCTGGGACCGTTAATGCCCAAATCTCACATCTTGAGGAAGGGGGGAAATTGACGCTCCTCCCAAACAAAG